CAAAAAGAACCTATGGTAATTGGCAAAAACAAGTTTGAGTAGAAACTGGTGAAATTCAAGTGGGATAACATTGAAGTAACTCAATGAAAAATCAACAAGGCAAAAATTAACTAGTGTGTTTCATATTTACCCACCCTAAGGAACTCCATTAATATCAAACCACATCTATTTACTTTGTCCCTTATTCTCCACTTTCAACATGATCCACAGATGTTCATTCTCAGATGTGATACCATTCTGCAATTACATTTACTATCCACACACAAGAGTGACACCATCATATCCATCTCATGTTCATAGAAAGAACACTGATGACGCAAGCTGTGATTCCATTCTCTTTTCTCCTCGTGATGCTACTGAATGCATCCACCAATTCAGTCCCTCAGATGGAGCAATTCAGCTTCTTGTCACTCCTGAACAACATCATACATTTGTATACATCTCTATATGCAACTGACACAATTTCCTTTTGTTTAAGTGTTTATTTTTCTTCCGCATTGGTGGATATGATGTAGTCTTCAAAGATGAAGGCTTTCAGAGTTTGCTCCAATTTCTAGTAGCTTGTTTGTTCTCCAGAAACTTATCAGCATTGCGATTGGTATCTAATCCAATATGAGTTTAATGAAGTCTGCAGGGGAAGATAGCAGTTACAGATCCTTCTTTTGTTATATTTGGTTTGTGCAGAGAATTCTTTCATCTTCAGAATACATGTTGTTCCTGATTTATTCTTTTCAAACCCGCTATAGGTGTGAGTTTGTTTTCCACAATCAATTTGCTATAGAGTAAATATATATTAGTTGGATCATTTCTTTGTGCAGTAGACTCTGTAGTTCCTGCAACAAACTCCATTCCAGGCCGTATTTTTCTTATGGTGATTTTAATTAAGGTGTAAGTATATGCATGTTTAGACCTACATCTCCCAGCATGCTGGCTGTGGCTCGTGCATTCTGGGAACTGTAGGTCTTTGTTCTGCAGTGTGTCTTCTAAAGATGGTGGGGTGCTTTTCCATCTCATACCTTTGGAGCACAGCGATAGATGGGTTATCTTCAAATCGGCTTTGGACTGCTTACACCCATTAACACAGTGTGTGATTTGGCCCCCCATATATACCTAGGATCTGGGGGAGGTTTAGCCTATTTGAATTGGATTGGACTGGGACTTTTTTGGGTCTTCCTTTTGGATTGTCATTATTTATTTATTACATTCACACCCTGTCTTTTTTCCTTTCAAGGAATTCAAATCAGCTTACATAATTCTCCTTGTCCTCTTAGTCTTAGCCTCAAAACAACAACTCTGTGAGATAGATTGGGCTGAGAGTATGTGATTGGCCCAAAGTCATCCAGTGGGCTCCCTGTATAGATTAGTTTGGCAGAAATGGGGTTGGGTTGATAGATGATGCCTCCAATAAGGGGCAAGCTAGGTTAAGAGTGTGTAGCATGTTGCCCTCCAAAAACCCCATACTCCCTGACCAGTGGCCCCCCAGAAACTAGGGCCCATGGAACTTATCATCCAAAGCATGAGCTAGTGAGCTGGATATTTTTCCGGCTTCCTTAAGATGGGAAATGTAGAAGAGGAATGCTGATGGAGTCAACGGAAGATCATAGAATCAGAGAATAGTAGAGTTGGAAGGGTTCATGAAGGCCATCAAGTCCAACCCCCTGCTGTTGCAGGACACCACGTTACACCATCCCACTCAGAGGGCTGCCCTGTTTCTTCTTGAATGTCTCTAGTGTGGGAGAGCCCACCACCTCTCTAGGCAGCTGGTTCCACTGTCATATTGCTCTGACCGTGAGGAAACTTTTCCTGATGTCCAGCCTGAATCTGGGTTGTCCCAACTTGAATGGATGATTCCATGTCCTACACTCTGGCATCAGCAAGAAGAAATCTTGACCTTCCTCTTTGTGACAGCCTTTGAGGTACTTATGGAGGGATATCATGTCCCCCCTCAGTCTTCCCTGTGCATCAGTTCTTACGTGTGGGGAGAAGAAGCCCTGTTTGTTCACCTGCGCTCTGGCAAAAGCAGCATATACACCAGAGGGATACATTTTGATGGGGAAAAAGGACTTTCAGGTACCTCAGAGCTGCAAAAGCTCTCTGCATCCATGACTAGTCCACACCCCATTTCCCTGCCTTTGACGCAAGCAGGACTGCAGAACCGAATGGGGGTATATTGGAGCTTCCAATTACATCTTCCTGGGCAAGGCGTCCTCACCTCCTCCTCAGATAAAAGGCAATAATATCCACCAGGAGAGGATATTTTCGAGGCACTGTGACTCTGTCAGTGCAAGAGAATCAAGTGGACTCTGATGAACTCTACAATGGTAAGGAACTCTTGATTTCTTGCTGTTGGGCAACAATTTAGAAGCTGATGTCGTGAACTGGAGTCCGAGGTACAAAGCAAATTTTGAGTGGGGGGAGGGAGGGAGGGAGGGGAGAGAGGTGATTTAAGATGTTATTTGACTCTTGCTTACTTGTATACCCCGATGAATCCTGTGAAACCTCTTACCATCCAATCTTTTCTACAACTAGAAAAAGCCAACCTATTTAGTTATTTGAATGAATTGAAACGGGAAAGTTATTTTCATAAAAACTGGAAGTAGTATCTGTGTCAGGACATCAAAAATACCTTTGTTTGGACCAACCCAAATATCCCAAAACAGCAAACAAGTTTTGAAATCTCCAGAACAAATGGAGATTGCTGTTATGCCAAGAATAAGTTGGTTTTGTGGGGAGGGGAGGGGAGGGAATGACTCTAAAGCCCAAAGTTCAGGGGGTGGCTAGAAAGTAGCTGGGAGGAAAGACTGAATAAAGACTGAATGAACAGTACGTGGTTGGATAACAGAGGTGCTACTGCATTTACTGACAATGTTTAAAAACAACAACTCTCTGAACATGCAGAATAAATATAAATCATCCTCCTACCAGTAAATACATGCATACATGTATGCATACAAAAACCCCAACCAATTTGTTCTTTAGAAAGGAGTAATTATGGATTGGAGAGCAGAGGTTTAACCTCTCAAACTCTATAAATATTTTCAGGAAAGGGGACTTTTCAAATATGCAACTTGTTTCCCCTTTCCCACTTTTTGTTCCCTGCCCTCCCCACCCTATCCCTACCCTCACTCCTGGTTCTTCAGGGGTGGGGACTGGGTCTGGGTCTGGGTTTTCTTGCTGCTTGATGATTGCAAGCAACCAGGAACCAGCCAAGAAATGCAACAGCACCATGTAGCCAATTTTATGTGGTGGCACTTGTAGCTAATGTCATGCCCCTGGTTTAAACTGGTTGGGCAGGGAGAGGCCATCCCTGTTGTTTATGCAACTTCGCTGCTTTGGTGATGGAGGCACCCATCTTATTTCATGAGAGCAGCAAACCAGGGGCTGCATCTAGTATCCATAACTAAAAGCACATACCTTGCAGATATTATCTTTGGCCTTTTCATTCCTCTCAATGGGATAAACATCCAGATGTGCATGTGAATGTAAATATCCATCCTCTTCTTGGTACAATTAATCACATATAAATGTACATGACCAGAGCTATGTTTCTGTTGGGTCACAGTTGCTGTTACATTACATTTATATCCTGGTTTTTTTTCCCCCCTCTTGTGATGAAACCAAGGTGGGTTACATAGGTTCATTTTATCCTCACAACAACCCTGTAAGGTAGGTTGGGCTGAAAGTCTGTAACTGGTCCAAAGTGATCTTTATGGCCAAGTGGGGACTAGAATCTGGATTCCCTGGATTCCCTGTGCAACACTTTAACCACCACGCCTCACTGGCTCTCAGTAACCCAGTTGTCGGTGCCCCTTTAAGACCAACCCCCTGATCTCAAAAAAAACAAAAACAGGAAGGTGGATATTTTGGGGGCACAAAACTATTTGCAAAACCAGCTAGTCCTTTTAGCTCAGCTCTAATACAGAGTTGAAAAGGTGTCAATGATCAAAGCCCAACCATGTTTAGAAACAGAAAACTGTCATCTATTATATGGGAATAATCATATGTAAAAATAATTTCCTGCATTCAGTGAAGTGAGATTAATTGATTACAGCCTGATTTCTATGTGGACATATGTAGGAACAAGCTGTGTGGATATGGCACTGCGTGATGGTGAACAGCCCCCTGGTAGAGGAACTGTGGAGTGCCACAGCACTGGGACTGAGCAACTGCCGTGTGAGTGAGGCAGTCATCTGCTCTGGGGTTTAGCTAAGAGTTGCCCATGATGCTGATCCCCAGCCTCAGGTCCAGAACCATGGGTGGATGTTTGAGCTGAATTCCAGCATAGACACACTGATTCACTTACAACAAAGACACCAGCCATTCCCTTTTGGCCTGAAGTATTATTTAAGATCCGAATATGAAGCAGGTTTGAGTCATTCAGAAATTTGGGGCAAGGGGGCACTAGTATGCGGACATCTGAACTGGGAGAGACCAGGCACATTCTAAGCTGTTTCCAGGATGCAGCAGTGGATTGGATAACACCTGAGAACCAGAACGGAATCCTTCTAAAAGAGAGACTTTCTGGATGAGTGGATCCCAGAACTGGGAACTGGAATGTCTGCTGTTTTGGATGGGGTTGTACTCTCTCTGAAACAGCAGGGCTGTAGTTGGCAGTGCTCCTGGATCCCCAAGCACTGGAAGACAAGGTGACCTCAGCTGCCCAAGCATCCATAGTGGGCAAGCATGCCCATTCCTGGATATCCCTACATGCCATTACATGGCATTCCTATCTCTGGGAATGCTGTGCAATGTACTTTGCAGAGAGCTGTGAAAACCTGGGGAAAATGGGGAGTCAGTGTTGGAAGCACTTTATTAATACAGAGGATCTGGGTATCTGTATCTGGGTTCTCCCCAGATGGACGAATCTTGGAAAATAGGAGCATTTGAAGGGAGAGATTTTACAGCATCTTTTTTCTTGCAGGTGACAAGGAACATCAGGCCTTAGGAAGCAGGTGAAGTGACCGGAGACCCTGATGGCTTTGCTCTTTCCAGGGAGAACAATGGAGTGTTCTTCTTGGATCTGGCTGAAAGAGGGAAGAGAATCCCGGAAGTTGGTGCTACTAGTTGTGTTTGTTGCCCTGCTGGTCGACAATATGTTGTTGACAGTTGTGGGTACGTTACGTGTTAACTCTCTCCTCTTTTTCAGCATTGTGTTGAAGGTGATGCATAAGACTTGAGGGGCCCAGCTTTAAGGGGACCTGAAGCTGATGCCCTCCAACTGGCCCCTTCCTGCCCTGCTGAGTTCCTTCCTCAAGCAAGCTTACTTGGTGAACGATGAGGTGAACCCTGCTCCTGTGACTCGGGACGGGTGGCACCACTTAAAGTTCCCACAGTGCCCCCAGCCTAGCAGAAGTGTGGGGCATCCCGGGAAATCACTGTCTGATGATGATGATGGTCGTGGTGATGGTTGGCATAAGCAGTGGGCTCTGTTGGAGCACTTGGTCCTCGTGCGAGGCCCCTCACATTGCTGCTGCTTGACTGCTTGATGGCAGGCCTCGGTGGCGCTGCCTGCCCTTCAGGAAACACGCACTCATCAGCAAACATGGCATCTTTCAAAGGCCTCCTGAAATATACTTGTTCAGCTAGACTTCCCCTGGCTTGTCATCATCATTATTTTTTATATCCCACCTCTTGGAAGGAACCCAAGGTGGCTTATATGCTCCTCCCCCTCCACAACAGTCCTGTGAGGTAGGTCAGGTCAGGAAGAGAGTCAGTGGCTGCTCCTAAGTCATGCAGTGAGCTTGGCTTAGTAGGAACTAGAACCTGGATTTCCCACATCCCAGTCCAACACTCTCACCAGTACACCACATGGATCCATCTTACTGCTCATGATTAATGGAAATATTTTAAAAATTGTTTATTATATGCGATGCTCATATTAATACTGTACATGGAATGTTAATATTTATAAAGAATTATTATAATTATTATATTATCAGTATATAAATACTACAGATCTACGCATTATGCACTAACACTGCCTCCCTAATTTCCCTTCAGTGCCGATTGTTCCTTCTTTCCTCTTTGCCACTTACAAAAACGCCAGCCACTCTGCGCTTCTGAATTCAGTTCCGATTGCTCCTGCATTACCCTCAGCAGCTCCCCGTGCCTCTGTGTTCTCTTTCTACGACAACACAATGGTGACTGTCTTGGAGCACCCCAGTGACAGTGGGGCAGATGTGAATGAGACCCAAGGTGGAAACCTCACGGCCCTTCATCCCCTCGAGACCGCATTGCCACCGAGCAAGACATGCAAGGATGGATCCGATTTCCTGACGAATGAGAATGTTTGGGTCGGACTGCTCTTTGCCTCCAAAGCCTTGATGCAGCTCATAGCAAACCCTTTTGTGGGACCCTTGACCAACAGGTATGCTAGCTGTTCAGCAAGCCAACAGATGCCATCATCCTTCTTTTCAGGTCAATAGGAAAGAAACCTTAGCATGCTCGCTACCTCTAGTCATATTGGAGTGGTACAGAACTTCCATGTAGCCTGAAGTGCATGATCCTGCCTAATCTTGGAAGCTAAGCAGGGTCAGGCCTGGGCAGAAGTGGGATGGGTGACCTGAGTGTATGATTCTATGATTATTGCTGTCAACTGCCTAGAGAGCTTTGGCTATGGGCAGTATAAAAATGTAACAACAACAACAACTTCACAACGACAGCCCACCTGGGTCTACATCTGGCCCTTTGAGCCTCTCCAGTGGCTGTATCCTTTCCTCAACCATGAATTGCTTGGTGGTGGCCCCATTTCTCCCTATTCAAAAAGGTTGAAATGCATCTCCTAAAATTTAACTATTGGTGGTAAGAGTTTTAAGCTAAAAGGTGATGGTATATTGGTGTTTTATCCCAGCCCTTTAATATTGCCCACCAATGATATCCAGCAGCTGAAAGGTGCTCTTCAAGGGAATTGGGCCCTTGGTCAGGAAGAGGTAAAGCACCGCTGTGTATGGGAAAACAGTTCTTGTGGGGAGTGATCTGAGCATGTGCAGGGGAGGCTGGTGACTCCTATGGCAGTGGGACTCCTCAGCTTTATCTTTTCAGCTGTTTAAGTACTTAATAAGAGCTGTCCATGGTGCTGAACCCCATCCCCAGGTAAGTTCATCACCATGGATAGCTCCTAGCAAGCTAAGGGGAGGGGGTCGGCTAATAGGATCTGTCCATGGTGCTGAAAAATATTTTCCTAAAAACTGAAATGGATCAGGAGTCCCATTGACAAAGGCATCACCCACCTCCCCAAGTGCTAGATTTTGCTATATTTGAGAAGCTCTTGGAAAAGGTGTCTTTCTGATATCCTACCAGGTTGGTGGGCATTCGGCCAGGGGCTTTTGTGTGGAATAATGAACCTCTTCTTGCCCAAGGGCTTTACTCAAATTTGGAGAGATTCTATTGGGTGGGGGTGAGGGCCAAAGAAGATGGGCAAAAGAAGCCAGGCCAGAAAATCTCAAATTATTAAATGTCACAGCATCTTTTATTCTTTCACTCATTTTGCCAGTAACTCAGACTTAGAAGAGACATTTCAGAACCGTGCTACAAAAACACTGTTCCACAAACAGTGCAGAAAAGTGCCCCAAAGGAGGGAACTCACCAAGCAATTTCTGCTTGTGGGGAAGGCGATGAGATCTGGAGAAGGAATATTGGGAAACCCCAGAAGGTTAGATTTGCTTGCCAGGTGGGCCAGATTTAGCCCCAGGTCAGTTTTTTGCACCCCTCACTTAAATGGTGGCAGAGGTAGTGGTCGAAACAGCAGGATGATGTGAATGCCACTTTAACCTTCCTGAAACATGCACATTACCTGATATCGTGTCACCCTATGCATTGTGGGGAATTAATAATGGCTGCCCACGTTGTAATTTCCAACAATGCCCCAGAATGCCTGTATGTTGGGCATATGGGATCCTGGCAGGACGTTTACAGTGGTAGCTCATAGCTGCTCAGCGGAGGGGTCCCAGGCAGGTCTTAGCACTGCTAGGCCCAGCCAAGGTGCTCCAGCTCCAGAAGCTGCTCAAGGATGTTATCTGTGGGGGCCAGCTCTTCTCTCCCCCCACTCCCTCTCCCCCTCCCCTCCCCAAAATTAATGCAATGATTTTCATAAGTGTGTGCTTGAGTCTGAATTAAATTCCAGTTCTTTTCCTGTCTCCCTCTAGGATAGGATACCATATTCCCATGTTTGCTGGATTTATCATCATGTTCATTTCTACTATCTGTGAGTACCACGTGCCTCGTGACTAATTTCCAGGTTTCCCGTGCACTAATGCAGTCATGCAGTGCCTGAGGCCCAAGGGCTGTGCCCAGACCTCCTGGGGTCTCAGTCTGGCCCTCAGGGCTTCACCAAATGGCCATGCTCATGCTTGCTTCCTCTGCACTACTGTTTGTCGGTTTTCTGGTCCTTATGCAGTTAATTTTTGTCTCCATCCTGAAGGGCTGAGATGCCTGTCTTAAGGTTTTAGGGACTGGCAGCCAGCAGATCAAGCAAAAATATGCTGGCCTTTTTTTGCCCTGAGGCTTTTGCTTTCAGCGTCCACCCTCACGGGCATGCAACTCCTGAGAGCGTCTTTGTAATGGAATTCTGCTTATGGGATAAAACACTCTTGCACTAACTGATATGAATGGGTGGAGTGGCAGAAATGAGGAAAGGAATTTCCTTCACCTTTCTTGGTCTGTCCCAGGAATCAAAGAGCTATGCTGCATCAGGCCAATGCAGCAGCTTGCTTTCCATGGTGACCAGCCAGATTCCTACGAGGAGCCCCCAAGCAAGCTAGACTTGAACCCAGGTGCACCCGCCTGGCAGCTGCCATTCAGAGGTTCACTAGCCGTCACTACCAGTAGCCACGGACTGATAAGAACTGACAAATGATAATGGAACATTTTGGAAGGCATAGAAAGTTATTTTAAAAATTAGTATTTTAATGGTTTTACAGTTGCATTTGATTTATTTTTATTGGTTATATATTGTTCTATTATATTGTGCTATTGATTGTTTTATTGAATTCTGTTTTTAATTTTGTAAGCCGTCCTGAGATGATATACATAAAGGATGGCATATAAAAGTTTTAAATAAGTAAATAAATATTATGATGACTCTCCCTATCATTACACGTGGGACTTACAACAAAATGTTGCAGCATATCTTTCCTGTTCTGCAACAGAAGTGCTCCACATGGATATTGTCAGGTATGCCCTCTTGCAGCATACTTCATTCCATTCCCACCTTCCTCCAATCTTATTTTTTGCTTTTCCAACAGACATAGTCTTCTATGGCTATTGAACTGGCTCAGTCTGGGCTGTAGGTTTGGGGGGATAATTTTTGTCCCTTTAGTTTTTTGAGGCTATTTTTTTTTGGGGGGGGGGAGGTGTATTTCCACAAACCTCAAGGTTCCTCTGATAACCCAGGATGCTTTTGTTCCCCAGTGGCCCTATTTTGGCTCTAGTCCTGCAGGCATGCAGCATCTGCGTTTGCTATTAAAAGACGTGCTTTAACACTGGTACCCCACTGTAGGTACCTTTTGGACCTTTTGATGTAGGACCACTGCAGGTGTAGGACCTTTTGATCCTAGGACCACGGTAGGATCCGCAGCAGGTTACAAACAAGATATAAAAACAGTCCTTAAATCAACCCTGCTGCACAGTGGTTACAGACATTATGCCACTAATCTCAGTCCGAACATGCCTGTGTGATAATTCTGCACTTTCCTTTCCTTAGTGTTTGCATTCTCCGGGACCTACACCTTGCTGTTCGTTGCTCGAGCCATGCAAGGCATTGGCTCAGCCTGTTCATCGGTTGCAGGTAAACAAGCTGGCAGGCCTTTCTGGCAGACTGTGGGCAAGTTGGAGAGAATTCTGGGGCACTAGCAGGCATTAACCAAACAGCATGGAGTTCCTTTCCCTCTCCTCCAGCCTTGCTGATCGCCCCTTCCTCCTAGTCTCTAGCTGCACTGTTTCTCTCCTCAGCAACTTCTTTCACTCATTTTTGACTAGTGGTGTTAGTGTTAGTAACACCCTTTGCTTTCCTTCGGAAGAGAAAAATATTCCAAGCAGGCAGAGAGTTCTTTTTGAAATGTTATTGCAATAAAGGGAGCCGGAGAATTTCCTTCCCCTTGCCAGCTGGCCGAGCACATGTTCACATCCCATATTTATGCCCTTTCCCCAGCTGCTTCTGCCCTCCTCTTTTTCCCTCACTGGCCAGGGTACTGGGAGGTTACAATCTTTCCGTCCGCCTATTCTGTGCCACTCCAATACCTGTTCTTCCCTCCCACTTGGTCCCCCCAGAAGAATTATAAGGAGCTTATTTCCTATGCAAGGTGTGTTTGTTAATAGCCATGAGGTCATTGAGCAAGAGTCTAGTGACAAATTCCCTCCTGTTATCTGATCCCAGCCCCTACCCCCTATGACTAAGGAATTTTCTTTGTTACATTTTTATTCTTCCTGTTTCCTTGTTCCAACTCATCCTTTCATCCCCATCACCTTGGCAGCCAATATGCAACTAGCCACATTCCCTGTGGGTGACAACTTTGTGGTGGTGCCCACAACATTTTCTCACTTTCTCAAAGGTGACCCCAGCTCCAAAAAGACCCTTCAGGGTTGTGCCAGTTGGGCCAGTGCTCTCAGTATAATAAGGCAAATTCTTATGTCTCCAAATGATGCCCCCAAATTATACTCAGAGCTTGATCCTTCTCTTTGCAGGTCTGGGGATGCTGGCAAGTGTATATACGGATGACCACAAGAGGGGAAATGCGATGGGAATAGCCTTAGGGGGCCTAGCTTTGGGGGTGCTTGGTGAGTAGAGCAACCACCACCTTGTTACGGTTAGACCTTGGGAACTAGGCCCCAAAAGACCCTTCACTGGTAGGGTGGCCACTTGGGCATTGTCAAAATGGAGGAAGCATATTTAGAGGTAAGGACTACCGCTGAAATCGGAACACGGGGCATTTCCCCATAAAAGGGAGACTGGGCCCAGGTGGGCTTGAAAGTTTCTGCTGTTCTGCCTTTAATGGGTCTTTAACATGGTCTTAGAGTTGGCAGCCCCTCATCAGCTGATGACCTCAGAGGGGTGTGGCTTTACCCCAAAAGCCCTGCCCCAACCATATGTTATTATTATTATTATTATTTATTTCCTTCCTCTGTGCAGAGAGAGGCTTGAGGCTCTCTCCACGTCACAAAAGGAACTCATCCAGAGTTGCAAGTGCTTTCAAGTCCCGGATGAGGGCAGTTACAGTCTTATAGGAATAACTGAAACTTGGTGGGATGACTCGCATGACAGGAACTCTACAATTGATGGATTCAACCTGTTTAAGAGAAATAGAGGGCAAAAAAGGAGGTGGAGTTGCACTATACGTAAGAGACACATAGATCTGCACAGAAATACAAGAAGAGGAACCTAGTAGCCCCATTGAAAGCATCTGGCTTAATTTAAAGGGAGCAATAAATAAGAAAAAACATAATTACTGGTGTCTAGTCTAAGAGTCTAAAAAAGCCCAGTAAAAAAGTGGACAAGGTTTTAGCCTTCGAAAAGCCAGTGGAACCAGCTGCCTGGAGAGGTAGTGAGCTCTCCCACACTAGAGATATTCAAGAAGAAACTGGACAGCCCTCTGAGTGGGATGGTGTAACTTGGTGTCCTGCAACAGCAAGGGGCTGGACCCGATGGACTTTATGGCCCCTTCCAACTCTATTATTCTATGATTCTATGAATTTTCATGCCAGCAGCAGTAATAATGATGTGTTTTTTCCTTGCAGTCGGTGCTCCTTTTGGAAGTGTGATGTACGAGTTTGTTGGCAAGTCATCTCCTTTTCTGATCTTGGCATTCTTAGCCCTGTTGGATGGAGGTGAGTGCATTCTGCGATCCGGACACACCTACAGCTCTTGCTTGAAAAGAGGGACCCAGAGCAGTGTCCAGTGTTAGACCTACTTCGAGTCGACATATTGAAATGCATGGACTTAGACTGTCCTTTCAACAGGACAATTCTTAGTGGGACTGCCCTCGGATAGTAGCATTTTGCTGCAGTCCTGCGACGATTCACTTAGTGGCAAGTGGCATGGAACAAAGTGAGGCCTCTGTCTGAGTAAAAATGTCGAGGCTCTAGGGCAGGGGTCGGCAGCCTTTAACACTCAAAGAGCCATTTGGACCCATTTCCCACACAAAAGAAAACACCGGGAGCCGCAAAACCCTTTTGACATCTAAAATGAAGAAAACACTGCATATGTCGTTTTTTACCTTAAAGCTATGTATATCTTCATTATGACTTAGCTGCAGCTCTTGTTCAGTCACTCAGAACTGTTATTTCTAATCTTACATTATAAACTAGTAGGACTCCTTCCATATATTTTGAATAGGAGAACAGCTTCCTGCAGAGTCAAAGTCAGTGCTAAAGGGCTGCATGCATTAAACATAAGTTCGTCAGCAGTGAAAGCAAATGAATCTACCCACGTGCCATTAAACGTTTGGTTTTCTTCAGAAACTTTTCTTTTCTTCGATTTATCCATGGTTGACCTGGGGGGTGGGGGAGCTCATCGGGGCGCAGGTCCGCAGATCGGAGGCTGTGCCGGAGATTGAGGTGTGTTTAGTGACTGATTAGCAGATAAACAGTCAAGTGCTGTGAATTGTGACAGGTCCCAAGCCCAGGCAGCTTTTAACATTCAGATGAAGGAGATTACACTGGGACAAAGAGAATCTTTTCAGCAGCATTTGGTGTAGCATGAGAGCCTGCAGGAAGCTTGTTTAGCAGAGGAATGTAGCGATTTACTTAACTAGCTGATTTACTTAACTAGCTAGCCCTGCTTTCCTGAGTGGAGCTTCCAGCAGATCGGCGGCTGTGCTGGCATGTGTTTTGAGCGATGGAGCCGCAGCAGAGGGTTCAAGAGCCACGTGCGGCTCCGGAGCCGCGGGTTGCCAACCCCTGATCTAGGTGTTAAAGCTTGAAAAGCAAGTGTAAAGCTAAGCAAGATTATATGCATTTCTGGAGGGGGTATGGATATAATTGAAGTATATTATATATTATTAATTGTTATAATATGTGAATTAAGTCGTGGTAGTATTGGTCTCTGGGGTGGTGGGGGCACTTTATGATTGACTTTTTAATTATTGTTTTATGTTATATTATTATTGCTGTGATATGTTGTATTTATGTTTTTTCCTATTTAAAAAAAAATAAAAAAGGGGAGGGGGGAGCTTGAAAAGCAAGTGAGTGAAAGCAGTGAAAGATTAAATCCAAACAGAGGGAGGGTAAAAAGATTATCATTAACAGCAAAATGACATTCTGGGGTGATAGTGGGGAGACAAATCTCAGTCATTATACTTCTATTTTAGCTTTACAGCTCTGCATCTTGCATCCTTCCAAGATTTCACCTGAGGTAGGTGCAACAAAGGTCATTTATTTATTTATTGGTTAATATAGTTATTATTTTCACCCTAACTGTCAGTGCAACACATTTACAAATCTGGTTTTTAGAGAATACAAGTTGAAAAAACTGCATACCAATATAACTCCCCCAATTTGCTCCCCCCCCCCACCAAGAAACTAGAATGAGTAATTTCTCCAAGGTACGGAATCAGAAAAAGATACAAAATCAGAAAAAAAACACAAAAACCCCAGAGGCTCTTTGAAAGAGAAGCTGTATCAAGAAATAAGCAACCCTCTCCAAGTTGACTGCAGGTGGCGCAGTGGTTTAAACTGCTGTGCTGCTGTGCTGGTTGATCGATCGGTTCGAATCTGCACAACGGGGTGAGGTCCCGTTGCTCCGTCCCAGCTCCTGCCAACCTTGCAGTTCGAAAGCATGCAAATGCAAGTAGATGAAAAGGTGCCACTCTGGTGGGCAGGTAACAGTGTTCTGTGCGCTTTGGTGTTTAGTCATGCCGGCCACATGACCACGGAGAATGTCTGGGGACAAACGCTGGCTCCCTCGGCTAGGAAACGGAGATGAGCACCGGCCCCAAGAGTCAGGCATGACTGGACTTTAATGTCATGGGGAAATCTTTACCTTTACCAAGTTGAGAAGTGAGGGAACAGAGCAAACCATTTCTGGGAGGGACCCCATTGCCACAACCCTGGCCCCATTGCTAAGAAGCCCCTGTGCCTGCTCCTGATTCACCACGCTTCAGGCCACAGAGGGGTGTAAACTGGTGCCTGCTGCAGCAGCAGGGGGGTGGACCTGATGGCCTTCAGGACCCTTCCAACTCTACTATTCTATGCTTCTAAGGGATATACTGAGCTGGGCTGAGGAGCATTGGGCTTCTGCACCAGATATGGCCGTCTTTAGTTCTCAGTCCAGCCCTCTGAAGTTTCCCCATGGCTGAACACTCTTTTTGCTGGAAATCGCCCCTTCCCTGCCCTCCAATTTTTGGTGTTTTCCTGGCTTCTGGTTGTTCCCTGCACCCAGCCCTAAAAGGACAAAGTGCTTCTGCCGGCAGTAAGAGCCTTAAGCTAAAGTATGCTATACATTTTTGTGTGTGTTGGTTCTCCCCTTTTGCCTTTGACTCTGCCCCCTTTGGCCCTGTTCGCCACTGGAATGCCACCCCAAGTGCTTTGCCAAAAGGGAATTGGGCTGTAGGGCGATGAAGGCTCCCCAGCCTTGTCCTCCATATGGTTGGTAAGTTTGTTTATAACAGGATGAAGGGGAAAAAGTACAAGCAGCTTAGTTTTCCTTGAAAAGATGGTTCATTTACGAGATGGCAATCGTTCCAGAGCATGATATGGCTTGTAAGGGATTTGGGGAGATAGCTTGTCATGGATGTCTTATCTCTTATGTGAACAGAGATGCCTCTGAACATGCACCAAGTATCTTTCCCTCCCTAACAGACAACTACAGGGAATTCCCATTCCATTCCCATCTGCTGCTGGGCTTCTAGATCTTTAAGCAAGGTGTCCCACCGTCGAATATTGCCTGGCTTGCTCTTCAAGCCAAGGTCTGGATGAAGCTGGCTGGAAGGATAAGTGCATCAAAACAGGTTCCCACCTTGGAGAGCCACCTGGAAGTGCTCTTTGTCAAGGGTGTCTTCTTCCATCAAACATAGACATGGTAGAACCCCAGCTTCCCCATCTAAAAATGATCTGAAGTGGACAGGATAGTGAGGATTTGGGCACAAAAGCCTGGAGAACCAGGCTTCAGTGAGAGTTAACTTGGGCCTTCGGCCACATCTTAACCTTCTCTGTCTGTAGTAGCTCTGCCTCTTCTGTGTGTCTTCCAGAGTACCAAAGGGACCCCACTGCTGACCTTGCTATCAGACCCCTACATTTTGATTGCAGCAGGTAAGCCACTGTGCTTTCCCCCTTTCCCTCTGCTGACTCAATAAATTTAGACTGTTAGCTCATCAGGGCAGAGACCTGTTCTGCTCTGTGAACTATAGCAATGAACACTATGAAGATCCCACTTCTCTCTCCTTTCCCCAGGTTCAATCTGCTTTGCTAACATGGGAGTTGCTATTTTAGAAGCCACGTTGCCCATTTGGATGATGCAAACCATGTGCTCCCCTGAATGGCAACTCGGTAGGTTCCTTTTTTAATACCTTTCCTGAGATGGTTCCGGTTCAGGATTTCCCTGCACTGCTACTCTTGCCACAGCAAGGCAAGGGTCCCTGTGACTTCTTGTGTTCTGGCCCCTGCTTGGCTAGGCCTTGCTCTAGTTTATCCCTGCTGTGTTCGAGTTCCGCTCCAGTTTGTTCCTGCCTTGTTCAAGCCTGTTCCCACCTCGCTCCAGCCAGCGTCCTTCCTGTGGTTCCCATCTTTACTCTGAGTAGACCCTGCCTCGCACCAGCCTGCTACAACCCTTCATCAATGTCTCCCCAATAAACTAACTTGGAACTGTGTTCCGACTCTCTCTCTCTTACTCTGTGTGCCAAAGTCAGATTGCTTTCATCTGTGCCTTTGACCCGGACCTGCTGACTTGCCCCAAACCTCTGGCCCATAGTGAGCTTAGGACTCAGTTCGAGCTCATGCCCTGGACCAGGTGTTCTGCCCCAATCCCCCCGCTGCCGCCCATGGCTCGGCCCTCGCAATAAGTCACAAATAAACATGCGACTACATGGGACAACCGCAGCACAGGCCATCTGCTCTGCTGGCAAAAGCTGCTGTATTCAAGGGCAAAGCCAAAACCAGCCAGCAAACAAAACATCAAAAGCATGGCTTATGGAGAGGCACCTAATGATTAAAAAGAAAATGGCATCTTCAAAAGCACAAGGAGAGTGGCTTAGCACATGGCAATTATGTGCTGCCATGGAAACCGGGTAATGAGATGAAACTGCCAACCTTTCCTGCAAAAAGACACAGAAAATTCAATTTGTGGAGAATGGCCTCTGGGGACACCCTCATCTACACTTACTGTCAAAATTGAATCACTATCTAGGATTGGCAGGGTTACTGTGAGCTACTAATCGAGTTAACAACCAGCTACTTAGGCAGAAGAAGGAACCCTCTTGACAAAATGTGGGTCTGTGAGGATGATCTCTCAGTCAGTCAGGTCATCTCTGGTTTCCTTGTACAGGGCATAAAAGGTGCACACATCGAATCATAGAATAGTAGAGTTGGAAGGGGCCAAGAAGGCCATGGGGTCCAACCCCCTGCTGATGCAGGACACCAAGTCACGCCATCCCACTCAGATGGCTGCCCAGTTCCACCTTGAATGTCTCTAGTGTGGGAGAGCCCACCACCTCTCCAGGCAGCTGGTTCCACTGTCATATCCCACTTATAGAGGGATCTCATGCACCCGCCCCCCCTCAGTCTTCTCTTCTCAAGGTTGAACATGCTCAGTTCCCTCAGTCTCTCCTCACAGGGCAGTGTTTCCAAGCCCTGGATCATTTTTGTTGCCCTTCGCTGGACCCTTTCTAATTTTTCTTAAATCTTGGTGCCCAGACCTGGACACAGCATTCCAGACGAGGTCTGACTAGTGAGGAGTATAGGGGAACTACTACTTCTCATGATTTGGAAGCAATGCTTCTGTTAATGCATCCCAAAATAGCATTTGCCCTTTTGGCGTCTGCATCGCATTGTTGGCTCATGCTTAGCCTATTGTCCACGATAACTCCAAGGTCTTTTTCTTGTTCAGTTCTGTTGAGCCATGAATTTCCCATCTTGTATCAACGCATTTGGTTTCTTTTTCCTAGGATGGAGGACTTGGTACCTGTCCTTATTGAATCTCATTCTGTTGCTTTCAGCCCAGTGCTTGCTATTCCATTCAGTTTGGGATCAACTGGACATTTGATTATCTTTCCTTGCACTTCCTCACCTAAATCATTAGAAAGATGTTGAAGAGCACTGGGCCCAGGACTGAACCCTGCAGCATCCAACTAGTTATGTCCATCCAGTTTGAGAAGGTGCCATTGATGAGCCCTCTTTGTCAAGATCCAGTCTAGTAGATCCAACTATGTCTAGATCCAGTCTAGTAGATAAACACGGTCAGCCAATAAGCACACACTATTAGCAGCTGTAAGCACACGTGACACAATTTTACTCTTTATTCAAAAGCCATTCAATAGGATCCGTGTTAGAATTTGCAATGCAAATGCTTAAATCGTCATGTTCTGCTTTTGTTGCTGTCCGTACAAAAAGATTTGTCTGGGATCTTCAATATGGTATTTATTAAAAGCCACATTTGGAAGGCATGATACGGATAAGGAAGGTGCCTGGTGACTGACACCAGCAGTCGGTGCTTCAATTGTTGCTTCTGTTTGCCCAGAAAAATTGGATGAACAAAGATTATTCCAGAGCACCTGCAAGATAAATAAATGGGACACAAATGGAGGAAATTAAACGCAATTGACTTTCAATAAGCATGCTGTGTTATATTCAGGAAAACACAGTTCCTTGTGATACATCTATAGTTGGTCAGAGAGTAAATGGATAATAAGCATCTGCTGGAAAATACTTAGCCAAATATTTGCCTCTGGTTTAATTATAACTACAGAGGAAATTGCTATTCTGTTGGTTCAGAGTGTGAAATTGAAATGAGGGAGAAAAGGATGGTTTTAATATGGATCAGGTCATGGAAGGCACAGTCCTATGTTGTCTTGCTTCATGCATGTCAGCCTCTGAATATATCAGTGTGCATTTTAAAATTGCACTATTTTCTGTGTCTTTACTCCCTAGCATGTCTATAGTGCAGACATACTGGCTTTACAATATTGATCATCCCTTATCATAGTTAGAGAGTCAGTCTTTTGCCTCTGCTCCATGTATGTGTGTGAAAGAATCAGGAGAGATGAGATTTTTAGCAGAGGCCCAGGGTGGAATTATGTTTCTCTCTAGCACATTCACAGTGCCTTCATTTTTTGGATGCTGCTTCTCTGTTTTGCAGGAGTAGCTTTCTTGCCTGCCAGCATGTCATACCTGATTGGTACCAATCTATTTGGAATGCTAGCGAACAAAATGGGGCGGTAAGTGATCGAACCGAATTATGCTTGAACTGTGCAATTCTGTGAGTCCCTGTGGCAGCTTTGGGGGGCAAGTTCAGACGACAGCCCCTGAGTGTCGTTTTGTTTCATGAGAGGATGGCTCCAGCCCTCTGGTGATTTTGGTTGTGCCTTTCTTTTCTGCACCTTTTTCATTTCTGCAAAATCTTATTTGAAATGCAGTAACTAGAAATGCACACAATATTTCTGTGTGGTTGCACCAGACAGATTTGTATAAAGGTGTTAAGATGCTGACAGCTTTATTTAGCCTGAATTAATTAACCTGAACCTTTACTTAACCCAAACCTTCAGTGAATTAGCTGTGCCATATACCCAGGGAAGCTCTCCTTCCCTTTTTTCTGAACACCTTTTCTTTCTAGGTGGCTCTGTTCACTGATTGGGATGCTGGTTGTGGGAATCAGCCTTCTCTGTGTGAGTATGTTGGTAGAAAGCAGACCTTATACTATGAATAACACCCAACATGGTAAGTTGTGAGTGGTAAAGAGCTCCAGGATAACAACTTGGGCCATTTGTGTTATGAATGGGAGAGGAATCCCAGAAGAGGGTTTGGAGGTGGCATTGTTGACCTGAGCCCAGTACATTCTATGCTTTGGGATCATTAACCGAGAGACAGTTGACCACAAAGCCACAAAGCACTGGCCCAGTTCAGTTCCTGCTCCTCAGTGGGAAACTGTGGTTTAAGCAGCTGCTACCATAATCCTAGCTTGTGGAAACAAACTGGGGAAACCATCCTTCAATAAAGCACTTGCTGAAGCCAGGTCATGGCCTGGAGGAGGGAAGGGGAAGTGCGAGAGTGCAATCTAATCCCCACTGCAACAGCAAAGGATAGGTTGTTGGAGTGGGGACCCAACCCCAGCGTAGACTTCCGGCTTTTATCTGAGAATGTATGGGTTTGCTGTAGGTGAGTTGAAGTTAGATGCTGGATGCATTTGCAGAAATACAGAAGCCTGGGAATCTTTATTAAATTCAGCATGCTAACGGTGAATGCAACTCTCTTGAGTGTGGATCCTTACATAGCCAAAACAACCCCATCCATGTGCAAGAGGTTTGGAGGAGCATCAAATTTGGCAGATATGCAAAAAATAAAAAATGTAGAAATGACCACCTCTAGCTCAGTGTGGAGTTAGGCCTGAAACAAAGGAAACTGATACAAATTCAGACTCTTGGTCCCTCTAGCCCAGTTGTTGACCCTGACTGGCTTCAAACAACATAATAACTTGTATTCAAAGGCTGAATGTAGGTTGAGTGGAGTTGTCATGGAACCATGGGTGATGGATGAAATGTGGTTTATCATGTTGTTTGAATCCAGCTGTACTAACAACCCATGGTTTGTTACCCATGGCTTGTTACCCATGAATAACCCATTAAGAGAACCCATGGTTTGTTGTTGGGTTGTGAATTGTGTGTTGTTGACCATAGTTTGTTATCTTGGCTAAGTTCAGCCAACACAAGGACCCATGGATCAACAACAATCTATACTTAACCCTTGAGTTTAGATTATTGCATTGCCTGAAACTAGTCATTGAGTGGTAGTGGCTCTCCAGGCAGGAATTTTTCCAATTCTTCCTGGAAGAGAACAAGGCTGGCTAGAACCTTGAAGAGGAATATTCCACACTGCAACCTGTTACTGCTGGTCTCACTTGTTACCTAACAGATGTCATACCTGATAACTGAGTGTTCATGTTGGGTTAACCTCCACCTGATACCAAAGTACTGTACCAACTGTACTGGTACTGGTTCTGTCCACTGTGTTAAGTCTGTAGAGCAAATAAAAGATACTGTGGGAATTTTTATTGCCTCCCACGGCCTTTGTCCATCTTCTCTCTTTTGCCCTATAGATCCCCTTGGCTCACAACATCTATGGACTCATTGGACCAAATAGTGGGGTTGGTTTTGCCCTTGGTGAGAGTTTTGAAGAATTCTGGATTCCTTGCAAAGTTATTTTGGATTGTACTCTAGGAGAGAGTGATGCCCTATTTCTCATAGGATCTTTCTTTGTTTCTTTCTGCCTGGGGATAGGCATGGTGGATTCTTCAATGATGCCTATCATGGGATACTTGGTGGATCTTCGTCATACCTCTGTCTATGGCAGTGTCTATGCCATTGCTGACGTGGCCTTTTGTATGGGCTTTGCTATTGGTATGGATGAGTGCTCAGTTACTGTGATATTGCTCTGCTTATTTGCAAGTTGCTAATTCCTTGTTATTAAAGGCTCAATTTAAATGTTAAATTAAAATTAAATACTGTTTAATATGTGCAGTGTAGAGCTGTGAATAATTTAAATTTCCTCTGTATTGTAAGGTTCCACAAAGCCAAACCAAACAAAACCATTAAGTGAAAAAAGAGAAAAATATACATAATTGAATATATCAATTTCACACAAGCAATTAAACATCAGTCATATATCATAGAATAGTAGAGTTGGAAGGAGCCATGAAGGCCATGGGGTCCAACCCCCTGTTATACCATGTTACATAAGGATATCATGTTACACCATCCCACTCAAATGGCTGGCCAGTTTCTTTTCGAATGTCTCCAGTTTGGGAGAGCGATTTTGGATCCATCCAATAGTTCTTCCATCTAGTCCAGTTTTTGCTAATTTGCTTATCAGAATGTCATGTGGCACTATGTCAAAAGCTTTGCTAAAGTCTAGCTAGATTATGTCCACAGTGTTCCTTCTCTCCACTTGAGAAGTTACCCAGTCAAAAAATGAAATTAAATTAGTTTGACAGGATTTATTTTTGATAAATCCATGCTGGCTTCTGTCAATCACTGCATTTTCTTCAAGATGCTTGCAGATGGATTTTTTAATAATTTGGTCCAGAATTTTTTCAGGGTTGAGGTGTGCAAGGGTGGGTAACCAGGAGCCTTCCTGGTGGTTTGAACTACAGTTCCTATCAGACTCAGCTACATGACCAATGGTCAGGAATAATGGGAGGAGGAATCCAAAACATCTCCCTACTTTATTGAATCATTCTTTTAGTTTTCTTGCCTCAGCAGAGGCACTCATAACAGAATGCTTGGATTTTTAAAAAATGAGACAGAAAAGCCAGGAGCCAAACCTGAAAAAGGAACTGCTGCATGTTCAGGATTCCTCCCATCCCATCCCATCCCATCCCTGATTTCCCATTTTTTGCATTCAACAGCCAACCATTTTCATTGAACTGTTTTTGGGGTCCCTCCTTTTTTCATTCTTGTATTTCTGCAAGAGCTGGGCTTCCTCTTCCTTGCCCATGGATTGTGTTGGTCCACCTGCAGCTGCAACATTCACAGATTGAACATCAGAAGTGCAAGGCATGTTGATGTGCCAAAGGAAAAGGTCTTCTCTCCTCTGTAGCCCAATAAAAGCATGAACAAAAGCATGAACCTGTTCCCAGTCTGAACGTTGTCCAGTTTTTCAAGAATGCTAATCACAGAATCAATGTTTCCACAATCTGAGATGTGTTTTCACACCCTTCTTTCTTGTAGGTCCTTCCACAGGGGGTGCCCTTGTACAAGCCATTGGCTTTTCTTGGCTGATGGTTGTAATTGGCGGGATCAACTTGGTATATGCTCCTCTCTGCTGGTTCCTACGGAGCCCGCCAGCCAAAGAAGAAAAGATTGTAAGTTTATTCCTGGAAATGGTGGTGAGGTGGTGACAGTCAAGTAGCTAGAGCCAAGGTGTTCCTACGTGTGTTGAATGTATTTACTAAATTGCCTTGTGTTACCCTGACATTCCATCAAATGTCTAAGGTCACTAACAGCATCTATACATTATAACACAATAAGGGGAAAGAAAGATAAAGATTGTACACTCTGCCATAATCCAGGGGGCCAAGCCGAGTGATGGACAAATTAGTCAATTTCATTCTCACTGAGCATCTTATTTTCCTACTTTCACTACAGATTGCAGGCTTTTGTTATTTATGCACCGAGAATTTGTATTTTGTACATTTTGTTAGTTTCTTAATGAATGTTTATAAAAGGCTTATATCTGCGGATGTCAAGCTTTCACAGGTCATAAATGCATAAAGCTACAAATATTGGCACATAGAATATAACCTACCTACATATCCCTAGTAAGCTAGGTTACCATGCACAGGGAAGGATCTGACTTCAACATATAAAAAAGTGTCATCTCATGCATTTTTCACATGCATTTGTGTATGCATTTTTCCACTGGTTAAAGTGTGTTGGGACACATTCTTCAGTCATCCGCATTTTCCCCAAACAAATGTTTTCAAATGCATTTTTGTGTTTTGTGAAGTGCATTGGAAACTCTGATATGCATGGATTTCCTACCTCAGATTGCCTTTGGATTGCATAATCTCATGTGAATGTGCCAACCCGGTGAATTTCACATGCATTATTACCAAGGACTACTGAGAAGCTGTTTCCCAGAAAAATCGTAATGGCACAGGAGAAAAGAGGCTAGCCAGAGAAAGAGCAGCTGCAGGGAAGTTGCTTCTCTTCTAGAAAGAGCGTCCCACCCCAAGTGCGTCTTACCTTGGGGCTGCAGAACCTAAAGGAGACAGGCTCTGCCACCTTCCATTCATCAGAGGAGGGTGGGCTGCTGGGTTGTGTGTATGTTTGCAGAGGGGGGCATTGTCCTACCATCTTTTGTAAACTGCCTTGAGAATCAAAAAAGCTAGTCAAGGTACCCCCAATTCGCATGGAACACCACCTTCCATTAGCTTCGTTGCAGGGTTTGTAGTCATACATCGGGAGGCCATGGGTGCTCTCCCAGACTAGGGCCAGAGGTACATGACATGGCAGCCTTGCTGAAGTTAAGCAAGTCTGGATTTGATTAAGGTTTAGATGATAGACCACTTAAGATCTCGGGCAAACTCTCAATTTCCAAGGAAGAAAGGCAGGATCTAAACAGCTAGAAACCCTTTCCACTCTCTCTAGGAGGCACGTGGACTCAGATTTTGGTGATCCTCCAAGGAGAAGGGAACTTTCAGGTTGAGGGCAGCCAGCTGGAACTCTGATTGGCCTTCTGTTCCCTTCAAATGGAATATGCTCTCTTGGTCTAGTAATGACAAGCAGGCATGGGCCATTCAGGCATGAATTGTGGGTTGTTATTGCTGCTCTGCGTGCCCTTTATCTGGTTTGTATGTAATGGTAGAAAATCAAGGGTGAATTAATTGTTTTTTGCTAGGATTGTGTGCACTGTACAAGCCATTTCAGGTGTGAAAATTAACTACAAATGCCCCATGAGTTGGGTGATATGCAAACGGAGACGCTCCGGGTTGTTACGAGTTCAGAGATGCAGTAGGTGCTGGGTTGTTGAGCCATATACAAAGTGAAGTGTCAGTGATCACACGCCATGCAACAAGTTGTGAGCAGGGCATTCAGAGGCTGTTTATGCAAAGCAGAAGCAGTTCCGGCAAACAGTGGGCTCATTAATCACACCCTGTACCACTGTCACCCACAATTTGCCACTGCGATGTGTGAGCCAGTTGAACTAGAGCTTTGTAATAGTCTACAATGGGCCTCTGTAGCTTTTTGTGTCACCTTCTCTCTCCTTCATCCCATTTCCCCAGGCAATTTTGACCCAGGAGTGCCCCATGCAGACCAAAAGCTACACCACCCAGAAGGGTCTCCAGGAGTTTCCGCTCACAGAGAGCAGCGATGAAGATGCTGAGACTGAGGAGTAGAAGGAACTGCAAGCGATAAATGGGAGACTCCATCAGAGGCTGCTGCTTTGGAAGTCTGCACAGCCTCCCCCTCGTGGAATATTTCTCGGGGGCTTCTCTTGGGATGTAATAAAACAAATAAAGGGTGGCCATTAGCATGCACTGGCTCAGGGGAGCATCCCTGAGTGCTGTAAGCAGACTGTCACCCTTGCTTCAAGGCTTTCCAATAGTCATTCAGAAATGAGTCGGTGCTTCCTTGAAATTGTTTGGAAGGAGCCATCTGATACATTCCAGTGGTGATTCTCTCATTTATTTAAGGAGGTCTCTTTTACCCTTATGGAAAATGAAAGGCTCTATAGCAAAGACACTGCTAGGGTTGACTCATGGGGTTCAAACTCCAGATCCACTCCGGAAAGCCCTGAGTGTCCATTGGTAGTGGTGGATTTTTTTCTCCTAACTTAATTTCCATGCAGGGGGTAATGATCAGGGAGAATTCTATTTGCAGGGGAAACCTTTTTCTTCCATTGGTTTTGGATTATCTTGGTCAGCGTGCAAAGGGATTTATTTGATTTGGGATTATTTGGGTAAGACATGAATTGGCAAGATTTAAATAATAAAGTTACTATTTCTAAATGTGCCTATAGATAGAGATATACATTAGGATATGCAGATCTGTGCCCTGTGAGCCTGGACCTCCAATCTTTTACGTGCCTAGCAACGTTCCTGTGGGACCATTTTATTGACCTCCCAGACTTTTACGTTCAAGCTGTACTTAATTTGCTGCTCCTGCTACTTAACTCCACCTGTCCAGGACTCACTGGCAAGGAATATGGACTTTGCTGCAAAACAAAGTCTCCTGCCAGGGCATCGCCCATTCGGTTGGATAAGAATTAACTCAGTGTTCTCTAAGACTGTATTGCGGGGAATAGGTAAAATATATATAGTTTGGGGTGGAAAAGTACTAATTGAAGGCCCTGCATGAAGCTTTCCCCTTACAGTATCTATCCTTCCAAATGTCAGGATTTCACTGCAGCTTCTTAGAAGTAGACCCTACCCTTCCCTATGAAGAGAGTGAACAATCTGCAGCCGGGGCCAAGGTTGCAAAGTATCGTCATCTTCCCATCTCAGGCTTTCAAGCAGTGCATCTTCCTTGCGGGGTGATTCATCCTGCCTCTAAAAGCTTGTCAGTATCAGTTGCTGGGCAACATGAGTGGGCAGATGCTAGTGCTTCATGTGCTGCTTGTGGGCTTCCGATAGACATCTGGTTGAAACAGAATTTGAGATGAGACAGACCAGGCTTCTTCATCTTGGTGATCTGCAGAAGCTTTGGATTACAATGCCTATCACTCCTGATCATTGGCCATGCTAGTCAGAGCACAAGGAAATTGTAGCCTAAAGCAACTGCTGGACTGGGATATACTTTTGGTCATTTGTTCTTGAGTCCTCAGAATGTCTCTTCAGCTTCTACATTCGGCAGAAACATCAGACCTGGGTCATTTGCAGAGCCCTATTTTGTGCTATCCTGGAAGGCTTCATATCTCCACCCCTCTGCCCCTTGCATCAAATGCACTGCTTATATATTCCATGCAAGCTCTGCTGTGTCTTCCCATTATGTCTGCACCAGGAATGATTGAGAAACAGTCCGTGTGTGTCAGGGCAGACTGCCTCTTTCTGTCACTTCAACTTCCGCTTACAGAGTCAGTCTGTGAGACTGTCAGGTGCCCCTGATTCATGCTGCCAACTTTCCAAAGGGATGCAGAGAAGATACATCTGAGAGAGGCCTGGCGCACAGATGGCCTATGAATCACCAACTGCTAGCCTGCCCTCTCTTTAGTGAATGGATATTGTTGTTTTAATGAGAACATCCTTGATGGAATTGATTGAGAAAATGAATGGCAATAATGGTGAGCTTAAAAGTACATTTTGTCTTGGTGTGCTAGATTTGTACTAGTTCGCCTTCCCAGACAAAATGTAGCCTTTTGATCCAAGATGCTTGTCAGATGACACCTCAAATGGCAACGGAATAGCTGCTCTCCTTCAAGAGCACACTATATCATGATACAACCAGGAGAGCTTTACATGGCCATTATTCTAGCAAATTTAATTTAACCTTTCCTAAGGCTGATATTGATTTCAAATGCTAAGACCGCAGCTCCTCTGCAGGATGAGCTCAGGGGCTGGAAAGATAAAGGGAAATCATTTTTAGTTTAGAATTTAAGCATATCTAGAACTGGAAAGATTTTAAACTACTCTTCACCTTAAAGTTATAGCCATAGGTGGTGCGGATTGTGTTTTCAAGTAATATACATCTGGGCTCGATCCTATGTACTTTTACATAGGATTAAGTTGCAGAGAGTTCACTAAGGCTTACTTCTGAGGAGAGATGCACTGGAGTACAGTGTGAAATATGAAAATTGCTGTGCAATCTTATACCTGAAGGGGGTTTTTTGTAAGCCAACCCGAGACATTTGTAGTGGATGGGTTAGAAAAGCTTTTAATTAATAATAATATGCACAGTAGGCCAACAACCCCGGTTTTATTGGCACCATAGGTCATCCACAATTCACTCCAATGCATGAGTGAGTATCTAAATATCCTAGAAACCAGTGTTAAAAAGAACCTTTGCTAGGATCAACCCAAATGCCACAAACGATGGTGCAAGTTCTCAATTCCTGCAAAATCCATCAGGCTTTCCCTACAAAAAGAGTTTACATCCGGCCACCCTGCAAGTCTGAGCAATATGCGCCTCCTGCAGCTGTGTGGCCTGGAACGCCCATCGTTTACTTCCTCACCACTGGGCATGCTGGCTAGGGCTGATGGGAGGTGTAGGTCAAAGTATTCGGCGGACCACGAGGCGCAGACCCTCGCGGGCGACTTACCGACGCTTTCATGGGCAGCGACGCGGTTCAATACGAGTAGAAGGCGACCAGCGAAGACGTTGGCTGAGCTTTCTGATTGGTCAGCGGGAGCGTCGCGGCTCCTCCCATCTGCCCGCCCTGCTGCACGATGCAGTTCAGCAGAAGCCGCGCCCCCTCCTCAGTTCGTCACCATCTCTCCGGTGCAGACATACAAAAATACAAGAGAGAGGCATCCCATGGCCTGAATAGGCATTTCCGGGTTCGAATAAGACCCTTTTTGAAAATGTCATCTTAAATTTGAAAGGCTCTGGCGACAGTCTTAATACACACGCGCTTCGGTTCCATTGGCTTACATGCAAATACCTTGCAATTTCTGAAGCGAGAAAGGAAGTCTCACGAGCTTAGATCAGAGTCTAACTCATATCTTCGACAGCACCCTTCCTTAAAGGAGGAATACACGCTCCATCCAGCAACAACAGCCCTCAAAACCTTCCATGTGTCCATCGATTTCGATCACTTTTGCCTTGGGCGGGTGAGTTAAAGAAAAGGTAGACTGAACCCGGAGGACTGCACTCGAAAATCATCTCTACACTTTGCTCTACTGGCAGCCTGTAACCGAGCATGCGCGGGCGCTGCTCTGCCTCCGCGTGGCTGGGGCTGGCTCGCTCTCGCGCGATCTGCTCGGGTCTCGGCTCTCCGTCTTCCGCTTCAGGTGCGCCCGGGAGCGCCGTGCCCCCGGCTGCGAGATGCACTCGGACGATGTGAGTTGGGGCGGATTGCGGGGCCGTCGAGCACGCGAGTGGGTGGTGAAATAGGCGGGCGGGCGAGCGTGGCCGGTTCCGTCCGGCCGCTCCGGGTTGAGCTGAGTGTGCCGCCTCTTCCGCTTTCTCTACTCGCTCGATTTCTTCAGCACGTGGGAAAAGCTAGTTGCGCGTACCTTACTGACGAGCAAGGATCATCAGAGTTTCGGAACCTGCTTTCAGTATCCAGCAGTCAGCTCATTCAGGGTGTTTGTATGTTAGAAAAGGTGCCCTGGAGAATGTGCAGAGTACCGCCAGTTTATCAAAAAGGATTTTTGCATCTTCGCAGTGATGAGCATAGGAACTGCCAATGAAGTCCTTTCCAGTTGTGGGCTGTAATACAACGAAACGTGGAAAAATCATGGGGTGGATAGGTATAGTTCTGCAAGGCAATATAAACGATGGCATTCACTTTCACAAGTTGTCGTGGTGGGACATATTTATGGAAGAGAGGGTTGCCTATGGCTACTAGTCCTGATGGTTATATGCCACCCTCAGAATCAGGCCTTTCACCTATCTGTACTGGTTGCTGGGGAACATGGGTTGGAAGATGGGGGTTGCACTCACGACCTTCTGGGACCTTTTGGGAGCCGCTTAACCACTGTGTGAACTGAATGCTGGACTAGCTGGACCCTTGATATGATGCAGCAGGGCTTTTCTTATTTGCTTGCGAAAACGAGGAAGCGTGAGGGACAACGCTGTGTGTTTCTCTGTTATTCCTCCCAATGGAATTCGTTGATTCGCTGCTTCTTTTAAAAGATTGATCAGCTTCCATTAAGAGGACTTCCAGGTATTACAAATTCTCAGTTATAGGGACTGTTTGCATGCAAATCTGTGCAGGTATTAGGATCTCCGCTGAAGGTTCTCCTCCAGAAGTCACTGAGTCTAGAAGTGAGATAGGTAAAAGTCATTTTTAGGGTGGCAGCCCATTTATGGAATTCCCTCTCTGGAGCGCTCCATGTGATCACTTTGTTGTTGCTTTTTCAACACCAGGTGAAAGTCTTTTTATTTGTCTAAGCAGTGCTTCAAATGATATTCTGTTTATTATAATCTTGGAGGTAATTTGTATCTGCCAACTTAACTCTTCTGTTCACGTAGCATTTTCTGCTTCATTGTTATTAATACTGCATTGTAATGTTTGGATTGTTTTGATTACTTTCCTGATGCTTGACACTTTGTGAACTTGGCCATGTTGAAAAGCAAGATCGAAAGCACAGAAATAATGAAATCTTAAATTAGGATCATTATGCTTGTCACGGTGAAGAGACACATGAGCAGATGGGGTTGCTGCTGTTGTGGAGCCCTCATCTTCACTCTCTGATCCTCTGACGCTTTGTTCATCGTAGAAATTAAAAGTTGCTTTGCAGATTGCCAGGCATTCTAGTTTTAGCATTGGGACAGATTCCCGCCGCTTGAGACTGTAATTGGATTCATTAGAACATAGCTTTGTGGTTTGCACATGAGAATTCGTGAGCCAACTTCAAGATTCCCATGTCTCTGCTGCAAGTTAAACCTTTGTGATGTCCCTGAACTTAAAAGTGCATTGAATTGCCAACACAGTATTTTCTTTTTTCAGGTTGTTTGGGATACTCTTGGCAACAAGCAGTTCTGCTCATTTAAGATCAAGTAGGTATTCATGCTCCCCCCTGGTCTCAGTCTCTCTGTACTGAATTGAAGGATTTGCCAAATCAATGATTGTAGTAGTGCTAGATTCAGAGCCCCAGGCAAAAGGGCCTCATTGGAACATGATTACATGAGTTTTCAGCTTCCAGGAGGAAGCATTGTTTTAAAGCAATCAAAACAAATCTGTTTGCAACAAATTGGAGCATTTTCTATCTTCTGGAAACGGTTCGTGGTTAAGGTATTTATCATGGCTGACCTCAGGAGACACACGTTTTGCTCCAGTTGGTTCTTTTACATGGACAAATCAAACTTTAATTCAGTGGTCTGGATCCAGACAGCAGAGTCCTGCACATGATGACTTAGAAATAAGCCTCTTTTAATTCAGTGGGACTTAACTCTGAGGTAATTTCACATAGGATTGTAGTCTAAGTTAGTTGAATTTATAGCCATTGTAATGATGGGGACAAGTTTGTTGTGACTTTGTTTCCAGTGATTTCAGTGAGAACTCAGCTGAGCTAACTCAGTGCTGTCTTATGCAAGTCAATTCAGATGTCCTACAGCCTGTTCTCCTAGGTGAATTCACATCAGATTGCAACCTTTTCTGGTTCTAATCCAGTGCATTTAATAGAGAGGTGGGGATTTAGCACCATGTATTTTGAGTGCATACTTGTGTTTGTTTTATTACATTCATAGAAACAGAGAGAGTCAGAAGGGGTCTCCCGGGCCATCTAGTCTGACCTCTGGCTCCAGCCGGCTCCACTCATGACATGCCTACCGTGTGCGTTCAGATACCGTTTTAAGCAAGGGTATTTTCTGAAGGTGCAATTAATGCAACTGAAATAAAAATAAGCAAACAGGCCTGCTTGTTCTTGACTTTCGGGCAGTTCAGTTGTTTTCTGAGCCCGCTTTTAAACAGGGACGTCACTTGAGGTACAGTTCTCTCAGTGGCAACTCCAATGCAAGATTTTGAGGCAGGTGAATTTCCTTGCCCCCTGGGCTAAAAATCATAAATATATACATTTAAGACAAATGTGCCACATCAGTAGCTGGAGGTTTGAATCAGCCCTTTGTCAGGTCATTTATTTTGTATTCATCGTCTTAGGGTATAATTTCTTAGGATGTGGGCCTAACAGAATGCAGGAGTCACACATCACAAAAAACTTGGGTATCTCACTGTCATCTGAACCCTTATGAAAATGTTCTCAAGGCTTGTGAGTTTAGGGCAAGCCTGTGTACAATCTTGCTCCTTTGTGGCTTCAGCTGAATTCTTCCAGAGGCATTCCTATGGTTTCCATAGTCAGAACTTAGAATGAATGGATTAGAATGAATCAAGTTCTCTATGTCAAAGGTACTGAATGGGTCATTTTGGATCTCTTCTTTGCAGAACAAAAACACAGAGCTTTTGCCGGAATGAATTTAACGTCACGGGCCTTTGCAACCGGTCCTCCTGCCCCTTGGCAAACAGCCAGTATGCTACCATCAAGGAAGAGAAAGGTAAGGGTCTTGGCCAGACTCCTTAGCATCAGATCCAGTGTTGATGCATCTATTTGGAGTGATGGAAAATATGTGGCCATTTAGGCATGTACTGCTTGAATATCGGTGTTTTAAGTTCTGACCACATCCTATGTTCTGGAAGGTAGCCCCTGAAATTGCCCTGTGAAGTGAAAGAGGTACAGCCCCCCTGTAGCCGAGGGTCAAAAAACAGCCCAAGTTAAAATCAAAGGTGAAGGTCTTGCAATGAAGGTGCTGTTTATACCTCTTATTAAAGCTTCTTACATACTGCTTGATAGTGTAAGGCATCTGAATGGCTTACATAAGACACACCTGAAATTCAGTATAAAAGGCAGTATAAAACCAGTGTGTGATAGGAACAGCTTCCATTCAGCTGGGAAGGTGGTGCTCTAGTTCTTTCTGAACACTGGTCTGTCGCCTTTGCAGAATCTGGCTGCTGCAGACCCGGCAATGACTCCTACCCAATTCCGTGCTGCTTCTCTTTCAGGCCAGTGCTACCTTTACATGAAGACCATTGAACGTTCTGCCTTCCCCAACCGGCTGTGGGAACGGGTAAGCTCCCTTCCAGACGTGTTAGGGTAGTGTGAATGCGTTTTTGTGTATGTTGTGTTCCGATTTTATTTGCCATTTGGTGCTGGTTGTTGCTGCTCCGGATTATGGCAGAGGGTGATGAGAATTTAAAGGATATGGACACAGGGTGCCAATGTAAGAGTGGATCTGATTCTTTACCTTCTCTGCCTTTGCTTATTTGGCAGTGCACAATCTGAATTAGTTTTCATATTTGAGCGCCTGTTTGATGTATGCCGATACCTTGCCGTTTTTCCTAGGGTGGCTTAATTTAATTTTCACAACAGGCCTGTGAAGTAGGCTGAGAGTCAATGATTGGCTCTAAATCTCTTCATGGCTGTATGGCAACTAGAACTTGGACATTTGTTCATTTAAAGCATTTATATATCATGTGATTAGCATAATGCTCCCAATACAGTTGACATAGTATATTCTGAGTCCAAAACTCTAAACACTATGTGCACTCGGCTTTCAAGAGATGTGTGTTTAAAACACATTAATTTGACCTGTTCCCCCTCCCACTGAATTAATATTACTATTTGAAAATCTTGCCGGAAGATCTTTAAAAGCAAGTAACTTAAAAATAATTAGCCTGTGGGCAGCAGTGCCTTAATCAGGAAGGCTGCAACTCAAGCTAAAATAGAAAATTGTCAGTGCAATCCTATGTATTCTACTCAGAAATAAGTCCTGTTAAATCTGGTGGGCTTAATTGCAAGTAAATATATCCTTTACAGCCATTAAGTAGTTTTAGCATCTTATCACAAGATGGCAGCATAGATGCAGATGTCAAACACAGAATCGGTAAAGCCTCAGCAGTATTCCAGGGCTTATGACTATTTGGTCAGTTCCAGCAATTGATAAGAAAACCAAGTTCCAGCTTTATAAGACAATTGTGGTACTAACAGTGATCTATGCCAGTGAAATATGGGCAATAGTGTCATGCACAGCACATAAGCTCAGTGTTTAATAACTGTGGCATCTCTTCTTGTGGCTTCAAGAGACCCATCAGAAGCCTTGGTCTGCTCCTTGAGCTGTAGGGACAAATAATGGATGTAAGGAGCTTCCCGTGGTTTTATGAAAGGAACTAAAAATCAGTCAGTCAGTCTCGTGCTGCCTTTACAATGGGTAGAAATTCTGGTACCTTCCCTCTCTTTTGTGCTATAACTCACATCAGCCCCAGCCAGCATGGCTCAACAGGGATTATACAAGTAGTTTGAAACACCTGGTTGTCTGTTTCTGCTTCATCGAAATTGGTGGAATCAGCTACTTTTGGAACATGTAGAGTTCTACATGCCCCATCTCGTCCAAGGAATTGGAAGGGGGCCCCCATCCCCAAGTGTGCATTTTGTTGCTTTCCCCCCCTCCTCTTGGGGTGCCCACATGCTGGACTACCTGGGACTTTGACAGTCCTCCTCAGCGCTGTTGCAGACGTCTTGCCTTCCCATTTCTGGCAGGTCCGGCTGAGCAAGAACTATGAGAAGGCGCTGGAGGAGATCGATGAGAACCTGATCTACTGGCCCCGCTTCATCCGGCACAAATGCAAGCAGCGCTTCACCAAGATCACACAGTACCTGATCCGAATCCGCAAGCTGACCCTCAAGAGACAGTAAGTCACGGTGCTTCTGCGGATGGCTTTTTCTGCAGGATTTTCTTTGTTCGTTTGTTGGCCTTTCTGCAGATTTGGGAACATAGAAACATAGACTTGCACGGATGGGATCTGAAGGCTGCAGAGGTGCTCAAGAGGAAACGGGATTCTGATGAGGCAGTGGCAGGACTTGTCAGTATCCTTGCTGATGCAAAATGCCAGCTCTGGGGACCTGGGAGCCCCGGCACCCCTCCACCACTAAGCCCCGCTGTGTCCTTTCTGGCTAGGGCCAAATGCTGCGCACTCGCAGATCGAGCCTGGCATGGCTAAGGGGCACTTAGAGCAACTGTGTTCTGGCTGCTTGAACCTGCTTCACTGAGCACTTCTCCCTTGCAGGAGGAAGCTTGTTCCATTGAACCAAAAAGTGGAAAGGCGTGAGAAGAGGCGAGAGGTAACATGCCCGTTTGAACCAATGGCTCCTCCCCCCAGCAGTTCGTCTTGCACTTGGAGTCTGGCATTAGCGGGTGGCCACCTTAGGCAGCGGGCCCAGCAGGCCTCGTCACCAGTGCCTACTGGGAGGTGGTGGTGGTGGGGGGGGCTTCCCTTCGCTGTTCCTCCCTGCCCAGCTCAGATCAACATCTGGCAGCACCATGTGTGGACCAAACATTTTTGTTTGCCACAGTTATCCAGAGCAATGCCAGGTCCAGGGCATTGTGGGAGATTAAAATGGCAGCTCCTAGTTCCAGTTGCCCTGGAGACTAACCAGCACCGATCAGAGTGCCGCTCCTGACCCCTGCCAGGGGCGCCCCTCTAGATGGCATGATGCTTGTGGTCACACTGTGGTCCAGAACAGTAGAGTTGGAAGGAGCTATGAAGGCCATGGGGTCCAACCCCCTGCCCATTGTTTGGGCCACCACATGCGGGGGTGGGGGGCAATTAAGGTGACATAAGGAAGAGAAACAAAGGGAGAAAAAATGTTAGGGACCTCCCACTTGACCTCCTCCACCTAACTCCTGTTTGCTCTCCCTGTTGCTTGCTCCCTGGCAGCTTGGCTGCTTATATCCCAGAGGCCCTAGACCAGGTGGGGCAGCTTTCTTGAAATGCACGAGGGAATGAGAGGAAAGCTTGAATCTCATTTTTGTTCTTGGTTCTGCCAGGAAAAAGCCCTGATTGCAGCTCAGCTAGACAACGCGATTGAAAAAGAATTGTTGGAGAGGCTCAAGCAGGACACGGTACGGTTTTTTAAACTAGCACATGGCATTCATGTGGGGCTAGAGGATGCTGGGTGTTTCTATAAAAGTAGTGCTTAAAAGGAAATGACACTCAAAAACCTGCCTGTTGTTGTTGTTTTGTCTCTGCTGTTCCTAAGCAGCACCTTTGTGGCTGCTGTGAAAAAAGACAGATGCCTTGTTGGACATAGTTAGGAGAGGAATGGAAAATAAAACTGGCATGATCTTGCTGCCCTTGTACACAGGCATGCTGTGACTGCCCCCAGAATACTGTGTGTCGTTCTGGTCACTGCACCTCAGGAAGGCTGCTGTAGGAAGAAGATCAGAAAAGGGTGACTGAAAAGTTCAAGGGGCCGGAGCAGTTCCTCTGAACATGCTAGCTGATGCCTGCTTGCTTGCAGTTAACCTAGGAACAGTAACGTTCCTCACAGACCCAGTTCACCCATCGTGGCTAGTTCCCAATTTGTTTAACTCAGGAAGTGAGGGAGGGTGCATGGGAGTGAGCGGGCTGCCTCTTGCTTGCTTGTCCACCTCACTATCAATGAACAACCTAGGGATGCCCACTTCTTGGGTTGTTTTGTGGCATCTGGGCCTGGAACCGTGGGTTGTTTAGGAATTAACTCAGCATTAATCCAGGAATTGTCTATGGTTCTTGGTTGGGTTAACTCTGGGTTGTTTAACCCATAAACCATCCAGAATATCCAGGTTTGGATATGATGAAACTACTCTGGATCAGAGCATCCTGAGGTGGTTAGTTGAAAGCAGAAATAAATGGGCGGGAAGTAGGGCACTCCCTTGCTCTCCTGCCAGTTTGTAGGTTAAACAACCCAGAAATTTGTCATGGTGCATAGTGCAGGTACATGAGGAAAGGCAGCAATGTCTGGGACTGTTCAGTTTGGAAAACAGGCGAGTACGAGATGTGATAGAGCTGTATGAAATTGAGCATGGTCTGTGGAGGGAGCGGACAGGTAGAAGTTTTGGGCTCATTTCATGAAGCTGGATGGTGGGAGGTTCTGGAAAAATGAAAGGAAGCACTTCTTCAGCAAATTCAGGGGAACTCAGCCTCTTAGTCCTGATGGCTATATTTGCCTACTGTTTTGGGGAAAGCCAGTCGCTGGGGAGCATGAGCGGGAGGTGGTTGTTGGTGTTTTGTCGTCCTCATGGGCTTTCACGGGCAGCCAGGTGGCCACTGTGAGCAGAAGGCTGGAGCACCTGTCCTCTGCTCTGCTGCAACAGAGCGCCTCCTTCGTTTTCTGGCGCCTAGGTGAATCAGGAGGGGAGGGGCATGAGAGGAGTTTCCCTGTGCTGCAGGCCTTTTAGGATATCGTCTGAATAATTTTCTGGAGTTCTCTGGCTCGGCAAGGGGATTTGTTTGGGAGTCTGTGTAATCTGGGGCTATCTAATAATGTTTTGCTTCTTGGCATGCTCTCTCCAGTATGGTGATATATACAACTTCCCCATCCATGCGTTTGACAAAGCTCTGGAACAGCAGGATGTTGAGAGTGAAAGTGACTCAGACACAGAGAAGAAGGAAGAAGAGGATGATGATGAAGTAATGCTTTTGAAATTGTCTTGATGTTATTCTCCAGAAGGGCACAGCTGACTGTCAATATTTATTTTATTATTAACTGTTACCACCATATCTGCTAAAAAATAATCAGAGCTTTGCATATTAGTAAGAAAAAATGTGCTTACAGATCTTGCAAGGCATTCCAGTTGACCATCTTGTGTATTCTTGCCATACAACAATTTAGTAAGCACCTCTGTTGCAAATGCCTTCTGACTTTCCCAAGATGTCTTCCTGCAGAAGTATTATCATAGCTTCCTGATATTAATCTTACCGGCCGAGTGTTCAGCGTTCGTGCGATTAGGATGCTAGCTCAAAAAATGCCCTTCTGCACATGGGACGTCACTTCCATAAATGTCTCATTTTTTGTGACGGACCCTCAGATGTAGATGAGTTGTGTTGAGGGAAATTCAGGCTTCTCATTTCACTCTAGCCTGAAGGGTACATCCATTTGTGCTTATTTCCCCAAATGTCTGATATTACTGATTGATGACTGGAAACGACAGAAGGGTCAGTCATAGAGACTGGGAAGGAGGTCTCTTCCCTGGCACCCTTCCTCCCATTTTCTCTTTGCTCTGTTTTCACTGCAGGATTTGAACAAGAGGGAGTTTGTGGAGGTAGATGAGAGTGATCTCAGTGATTTTGAGGTAAGCTCAAAAAAGGTAGACATCGGAACATGATTTGTGATTAGGGAAAAGGCGGCTGGGGCTGACTGGGGAGCCTCACAAGGCCAAATACAGCTTGAGATGCTAGGGACTGAAATGGATATTTTTCCACATCTTACTCGGACCTCTCGACTTCCCCTTTGTTCTTCCTTGTGTTAAGTTTTCGTATTGTAAGTTCCTTGTGGCTACAACCTATCATCTTGCATATTGTATGAAGCCATGTGATGGTATGATAGGAGAATAAATAATTCTTGATTTTGGGGATGGGAAGGGGGATACTTCCTTGCCGTTTGGGCAGCTGAAAACTGGATACTTCCTGCAATGATGTAGAGAAACCGTGTGCTCAGCTTGCTATGCCCATCTCAACCACAGTAATTCCAGTAAAATAGATTTAGACCTGTTGCCACTAACCCAGTGTCCTAGGCTAGTTGATAGGGCTAGGAGATGCTGAGAGTCAGGTCCAGCAGATGGAGTAAGCTGCTTTCGAGTCTGGGCCCCGCTACCTCTGGGACCCATAGCCACATTTAGGAATGTGCTGTGGGCACCACCAAGAATGGCTTCCACAGAGGATGTAGCTGGTTCCATAATGGCTGCTATGGGAGCCTGGCCAAGGTAGGTGGTGGCAGCAGGGGAGGGAAAGACCAAGGCTGGAAGGGGAAGCAAGATCACCCAGCTCCATGTTTTTATTTAGTTTTCCTTTTTTGGATGGCTGGGGAGTGGAGAGCTTGTTAGATGCCGCGGGAGTTACCCAAGGATGTTGTGCTGGAGACCCCGGTACTCTGTCTTTTGCAAGAGAGTACACAAGGGCAAAGACATTGCTGGGATTACTCCTGTTGTTTTCTCCTTCCAGGATATGGATAAACTGGCAACAAGCAGTGAAGAGGAGGGAGAAGAGGAGACTACATCCAACAAAGAGGAAGAGTGGGAACAGCAGCCGAAGTCCAAGGGCAAGGCTCCCCTGAAGGGCCCCGTGAGGAGGAAACGAGCTTACGTAGAAGTAGAATACGAGCAGGAAACAGAACCCCTGTCTAAATCGAAAGTGATGTGACTCTTCCCATGGTTTGAGAACTCTTTGCTGAACATGATTTGAGTGCCTGTGGATCTTGGCAGCGGTTGGTTCTGCAGCCCCCAAGACTGAAGACAAGCACCTGCAGATATTGAGCTGGGTTAAAACGCCAGGCACTGATACTGACACACTGATACGCCTTTCATCTATTATTTTTTAGTCTATTTTTGCATACCGACAATTACGATATTTATAGTCCAAGCTTGGGAGCAAAGATGGCTGGATTTAAAAAAAGAGCGTATAGCTTTATTGACTTTGTAAGCTGCTTTTGTGGGTATAAAAGTGGCATATAAATAAGTACACCAGAACAATTCACTTGTTCTTTTGGGAGTGGGGGGGGGGGTGACAACTCTTTTTGAGTAATGGTAAACAGAACTTCAACTACAGGAGGGCAGACATGGTGGAGTTGGATGGGTGCCTCAGAAGCTGGAGAACTGCTTCTTCCTACCTTTGAATACAGTCTTTATTCAACTTCTCTCTCGAGCTCTGGGGAAGACTGTTTTGCAGAGTCCTCTTGTACTTTCCACAGGTATTCCTTGAGGTGCTCATCTGGACAACTGTGGTGGACTCCTTGCAGTAGGACCTGGGATGGAAGGGAAGGGGGCAAATCAAATGGAGTCGTCAGCTTTCCAGAAAGACCTTTTACTCTCTCAGCCAACCCAGTGACGGCTCCCCAAAGCCAACTACTGTATAGCAAGCCAGTCTGCCTAGCTGCACTTCCCTGTGTCACTCTTCACGTCTCAGGCCGAGGTCCCTGCCCAGCTGGACGTGCTGCACGTGAAGTACTGTCCCGAGAGTAGTATTATTCAGAATGAGGGCTGTTCATATCCATGCATTTCAAGAGATGATGCTCGCCTTGACAGCTTGCCTAGCTGCTGTCCACATTAAAATATTAAGAGGCCAGATTGGGGTCCTCATCCTTTCTAGGTTGGCAGGTAGGGCTGAAACATTCTCGTGCTGTGGGCACTCTTACAAAATGGCTATGGGGGTTGCCTGCTCATTTCGAAACTGGCTGCCATGGTGTGCCTGGCTGGTCACAGGACTCTAATTTCCTAAAAGACAAACACAGGAGACGGGAAGAATAACCTGCACACCACCTGGCCTGCACTGGCGCTTCAGCTGTCTGCTCTCTCGTTTGCTTTTGCACTACATCGCAGGCCTGCCTTGCCTTGGGGGTACAGGGCCCTCCTTTGCTCTTGCTCACCTTGACTTGTCCGTGGGAAGCATGGTCCAGCAAAAGGAGGCACTCGGTGGCTCCTTGGAGCAGCTCTGCCTTCACTGGCTCAGGGGTGGCGCTCCTGTCTGTAGCCACATCCCACATCATTCTCAGCAAAGCCTTAAGGAGCTCAGGGAGACGGCAGGCCATCCTACAGCAAGGAAATGGCGCACATGTCAGTCTGATGGGGAAGCTACTGTTCTGGAGCCAACCCAGTCCCAGGAGGACTGTGTGGGGGTGGGCAGTGAGCAGGAATAAGTTTTGGAGCTCTGGAGTAAAGCTGCACCTCAATACAGAGAGGCAGTCCAACTCCTAGGGCCTTTACAGTACCTGGGCCATGCGTGCTGTATGGTGCGCTTCAGAGTGTCTAACACTGCCAATCTAGCAGCTTCCTCGGGTCCATCAGGAACCTCCAGGTATCCCACAATCACCTGCTGCAGCTTCTTCAGGTGACGGGTGATCCGGATGCCATGCCTCTCAAAGAGAAATGGTTGAGGGTTATAACCTTTGCACTAACAGTGGGCTATTTGTGGGCAAAATGCAGGACGAGGACAGCAGTGCCATCTCACCTCTCTACAAAGGCAGGCAGGTTCCTGGCATAGACTCTCCGCAAGGAGAGTCGGTGCTCCACTTCCATGTGGGTCAGGATCAGCTGGAGTACCTCATCAGATGGGGACACACGTGTCGGAGTGTGGGACAGCCTCTGGGGGGCCTTCTCCAGAACCGGCAGCAGGTCCAGCATACACGGCAGCACCACCTGTTGGAGCGACGAGAAGAGATGGGTCTCTGACTGTGGGTCATGAGGCCCCCTTGCAGTCCTCCACTCTCCCATGAAACTCACAGGGCCAGTTTCTCAGTCTTTCTCCTGACCTAACCTACTGCACAGGGCTCTAATGGCGAAAGGCTATCGTTTTTAGTGGAGGGTATTGTAGCTCACAGGGTTTGCGTGCAGCACAGGAGGTCCCAGGGTCAATCTGCAGCATCTCGAAGCAGGCCTGGGAAACAGCCCTGCCCGAAACAAAAGCAGATACCAGTAAATGCAAAGCAGGGCTGGAAAATCTTTCAGATGATTTTGGACTACAACTACAATTGTTCCTGATCATGTCTGGGGAAGAAAGCAGGTGGAGTCCAAAAACATTGGGAGGGAGACAGGTTTCTTGTCTTCTGTTATGGGCAACACTGGACTAAATAAACCTACGTATGGTGTGACTTAGAAACAGTGAGTCAGAAGAGGTCTCCCAGGCCATCTAGTCTGACCCCCAGCTCCAGCCTGCTCTGCTCATGACATGCCTACCATGTGCATGTGA